CCCCGCTTCCCAGCCCCCGGTTCCCAACCCCCGGTTACCCAGCCCCCGGTTCCCAGCCCCCGGTTCCCCGCTCACCTCGTGCGGGCCGTACACGGCCGCCAGCACCTTGGTGTTGCCCTGCTCCAGGTAGGCCGAACCGTCGGCCCGCGCCAGCACCCCCAGCCGGGCCCGCACCTTGCGCAGCTCGTCCGGCCGGCGCCCATCGGCTCGGAACCCCGCGTCCGACAGCAGCTCCAGCCCCGCCATGCTCCCGGTGCCGCCGGTTCCCGCTCCCGGTGCCGCTCCCGCTCCCGGCACCGCGTGTGAGGGGCCGGACTACAACTCCCGGCGTGCCCCGCGCGCGGCCTGAGGGGGCCGGACTACAGCTCCCGGCGTGCCCCGCGCGAGCAGCCCGCCAACGGGAGTCGTCACATCCCGTGACGTCACCCGCACGACAGGCCACGCCCCCAGTTGACCAGCGACAGAGGCCACGCCCCCGTTTGGACCACGCCCCCTCTGGGGGCAGAGCCCAGGCCACGCCCCTCGGGGAAGCCACGCCCCCCAATCGGCCCAGGCCACGCCCCCTGGGCCGGTTCGCAGCGGCGGCACCGAACGGGACCGGGCGGGACCGGAGCCACCCCGACCCCCCCAGGCGGACCTTGGACCACCCCCGACCCCCGCCCGGGCACGGCCGGACCTTGGGGCGGCGCCGATCCCCGAGCGGACCCTGCCGGACCCGCACCGGGCGGCACCGAACCCGCACCGGGCGGCACCGAGCCCGCAGCGGGCAGCACCGAACCGGCACCGGGCGGTCCCCAGGCTCGGCCGGACAGCCCCGGGGCTCTGCCGGACACCGCTGACCTCTGACCGGGCAGCCCCGACCTTGGGCAGGCCGGAGCGGACGGTCCCGAGCCGCCGCCGCTCTTTGCCCGCGGGTCCCGGTACCGGCTCCGGTGCCGCCATGGCGGAGCCGCTCGCCCCCTCCGGGTTCCAGTTCGCCATCGACCGCGGCGGGACCTTCACGGACGTGTTCGCCCGCTGTCCCGGGGGCCGCGTCCGCGTCCTCAAGCTGCTCTCCGAGGACCCCGCGTACCGGGACGCGCCCACCGAGGGGATCCGCCGCGTCCTGCAGGAGGTGCGACCCCCGGGACACGGCGGGGACACCGGGGGGACACACCGGGGATACACTGGGGACACACCGGGGATACACCGGGGACACACCGGGGATACACCGGGGACACACCGGGGGTACACCGGGGATACACCGGGGGTACACCGGGGATACACCGGGGATACACCGGGGACACGGCGGGGACACCCCGGGGACTCCCGGGACACCGGGAAACCACCGGAGA